AGGCAAGAGAGAGGACAGAAGAACGTGAAACCACACCACAGTAGGATCGGTGCACTCCAGACTTAAGTAAATTACAAATACTCTGTCTTGTTCAGTAAGTATATCCCAAGGTAAAAAGAAAGAGAGATGGAGGGGGACTGGCAGGTTTTAAGACTTAAAATTAAAACATGCAAAACCTTATTTGGTCCTGATTCACATGAACAATTTATAAAAAGTAAATCAACAAATCATTTTTGCCATTTCTGAGACAATGGAAAATCTATATACTGATGAGATATTGAATGATATCAAAACTTACTGTTAATACTTTAGCGAACCCTCCCAGCTTGCTCATCCATATCCCCCATCCTCCCCAATGTTACTGTGAAGCCAATTACAGATCATTTTTAATGGATGAGTCTTATATGGAGATTATATCCAGGGTTGCCATGAGGTGGAACCAAATCGATGGCACTTAACAACAATGGTATTGGGGTTGTGGTTTTGTTCTTATAAAAATGAATCACTTTGTAAAGATACAATTTTTATGGATGGATGAAATGTCTAACGGTTTGCTTCAAAATAATACTGGGGAGGATGGGGGCTATAGAGGAAAGAGCTGGATGAAGGTACGAGGGTTCGTTACACTTCTCTGTCTGCTTCTGTATGGATTTAAAAGTCTTGGTTCAAACCCACCAGCTGCTCCTCAGAAACCCCACACAGGATTGCTATGAGTCAGAACTAACTCAATGGCACTTAACAACAAGAACATAATAGCAGGGACTCTATAGGATAAGCACTGGACTGAGAACCACCAACTCAAGAAAAAGAGGAAGCGTTCTGCTCCTGCAAAAAGACTGAAAGTCTCAGAAACACCACACAGGGTCACTATGAGTCGAAACCCACAGGACTTAACAACAACAACTACTAGTTATTAAAAACAAAGGAAGAAAAAAGATAGATTCTACTGTTAGTCAGAATTACTGTTGTTGTTGGGTGTGGTTGAATTGGTTCCGACTCATAGTGACCCTGGATAGAGTTTCTGAGGCGTGACTGCTAAGTTTGCACTGTTGACCTTATGGTTCAAACAGACCTGCGATTGAGTGCTTACCTACAGGACTATGTAATTGTTCTGTTTTGACGAAGTTTACCGAAGTACTCTGAACACACCTGTACTTGTTGCTATCAAGCTGAGTCTGACAAAAAATCAGGGCAGAGCTGAACTGCCCCATAGGGCTCCCAAAGCTGTCATTTCTGGGTAATGCGTTGGGCTGTAAACTGCAGGGTCACTGATTCGAATCCACCAACCACTCCTTGGGTGAAAGATAAGGCTTTCTGCTCCCGTAGACAGTTACAGCCTCTGAAATACTTCACAGGTCGATACGAACTGGAACTGACTCAACGGTACACAACCATCTTTAGAGAAGCAGCCTGCCACAACGTTCTCCCTAGGAGTGGCTGGTGGCTCAAACTGCTGGCCTCTCTTAACCACTGTGCCACCAGGGCTCCTTCAACCAGCCTGTGACATCACAGAAAAAGGGCTAAGAGGTGCTGTGGTGTTTCTAAATCGGACAGGAGTATGCTTCCTTTCCTGAAGATCTCTGGTGAACTCGAAAAAGCAGCTTATCTGTGACCTTCGTTCCCTTCAGTTCACCAGGCAGCTATTGTATCCTTGTTGCTGTTGTTGTGAAGTGCTGTTGAGTTGGTTTGGACTCATAGCAGCTCTGTATTGGCAGGGGCCATGATGGCTCTGATAAGAAATACACTGCAACAACACAGAGCAGCGGGAGACCCTATGCATGAAGAAAGCCCACTGTACTGCAGAGCAGTGATGGGTGCCTCATAGACTTGGCAGAGCTTCAAGAGGAAATTTCATGGGGCGGGGGACTTGTAGTCTCTGTCTTTTCCTTTTATGAATAGTTCATTTTTTATTTTTCTTGATTTTATTATAGAAGTTTTTAGTAGAACTCTTCAATGATCATATTAAAGGTAAAAAATTACATTTAGACACCTTCACACCATATTCAATCATGCGTAGTCCCTAAAGAATGCTTTTCACACTAACAATAAGTTTCACCACTAGGAAAAACCAGCTAAAGTTTTTGCCAGTTCAAGTTTAAGATTACATTCAACATTCTGTGTAGTTTCAGTCAGGGACATTAAGACCTTTAGAAAATTAGCTAAAATGCAATTAAGGGCTAAGGGAATAGTAATAGATCATAAGCAGAAATTTAACTAGATGTTTTGTATAAAGAAGTTGTTATAAGGAAGTTGTTCCGTTTCTTCTTAACTATAAAACTTTAAATGCCTTTTTTTATGCTTCTTGTTTAATCAATCATGAGAAACAACTGTGTTGTCAGTTACCACAGCAAATAATGTTTAGGTACATGTTGTGATGAATGAATCTATAGAAAATAATAGGGGAAGGTAGAAATAGGAGTTAAGATTTAGAATTATGTTTTAAGGTTAACCTGACATTTTAAGACGTCAGAAAGATTAAGGTATTTTAACAAGATCATTTGTGTAATGCTTCAAAGAAATTGATTGTTATGAGATCATAGTGTATTGTAACGGTATGTAAGGAGCTGAAAAAATTAAGTATCATCATCATCATCAGAATTTAGCACAAATCATCGACTCCGTTTGATTTCTTTCTTCAGCCGACTCCACACATCCCTTCGTGAGCCCCCCTAATAAGTGTGTCAGGGCTGGCACCCGGCACTGTATAGGGTTTCCAAGGAGCTGCTGATGAGTTTGAACTGCCAACCTTGCGGTCGAGTGCTTTTTCTACAGAGTCACACCAGGACTCCATCTTATGCTTAGACAATTGCTATTGCCACAGGTGTGGTGGTGCAGGGTTGGTGGCACTGGACCACAATGTCGGCAGTTCAAACTCACCAGCCACTCCTCCGAAACTCTATACAGGGTTGCTATGAGTTGGGACCAACAATGGTACTTTATAAATAACACCATGGTATGTAAAGATCCTGCACTTTACCTTATAAATAACTTCTGGCAAGAAAGAGCAGACGATACTATTATTGTATAATTGAGGAAATTCCAGGTAAATCTTCTTTAGAGCAGCAGTAGCCTGTAAAACAAAGATTCATGTATTTATAATTTTTTAAATTGTGACAGTCGCAGTTGTAACTATGAGTATTACACAATCAAACACAACCCTACCTAGTCAATCAGAAGTTGTTGAAAAGAGTATTGGTGGATTCCAGTACCCATTTGGATACATTCCAAACTCACATCGGCAGTAGAAAACCCCCTTTTCCTGAGACTTTTATAAAGTGTGGCAGGCAGTGAAGGCTGGGTGCAAAATTTAAAAATCCGTTCCTTATATTCCAGCTTAGTCACCAGATATACGCACAACTCTATCACCCTTCTGACTTCCAGAGATGAAACCCGGGCCCAGCAGCCAGGGGAAGTACAGAGAAGCAATGGGATTGAGGTGTGGACAAGTCTCTCCACTCTTTCCAAGATGAGTGGAGTTTCTCTCTATAGGAGCAGCCCGGCTAACGAATGAAGGAGAAATCTGAGAATGAAAGTACTGACATTGTTCAGTTCCTCGTGCACTGACAGATCTGGTCACGGACGATCAACATCAGCTGATAGTACAAAAAGAGAGTCAGGTAGATGTTGTGTGGAACACAATGTTGCTACAGCATAATGCTAATTTAAAAAAAGACCCCACACTTTTATAATGAAAAACAAGCACCAAAATGCCTTCAACAAAACAGCAACACAGAACTAATAATCCACACCAGGGCTCCCTTTACTAACGAACCGAGTGTCAGTCCATGATCCAGGTGTTTTCTCTTCACCTGTATCATTTACGTCTCACAACCACGTCAGATGGTGGTGGCTGGTGGTTCGGACTCACAGTGACCTTTAGGGTTTCTGAGGCTGTAAGTCTTTACGGGGGCAGAAAGCCTCCTCTTTCTTCCTCGGAATGGCCGGTGGACTCCAACTGCTGACCCAACACGTAATCTACTATACTACCAAGGACCCTACGCTACTCGGGGGCTGGTTTCTTTTGTTACTCCTAGTTTTGCTCAGGATAAATTGAGGTTTATCAAGGTTAAGGTGTGGCACTGTGGGTTAATGCGCCAGACTGCAAAGCCCTTTGAACTGCAAAGTTGGTGGTTCAAGCTCACCAGCTGCTCCTCGGAAACCCTATACAGGGTCACTATGGGTTGGAGTCGGCTCAATGGCTCTTACCAACAACAACAAAAGTTAAGGTTACACCGTAGTGACAGCACTTGATATGTTGAAAAGACCCTGAGTACTGTCTCCCATGCGTCCCTCTAGACTGCCCACTTGGTGAATTGTGTCACTACACTATGCTTAGGTACGGCCAAACACTTGTGAGCACCTAACCACAAGACTCAAATAAGTGGCTTTTTCCCCTCCTCTTTTTACTTCTTCTCAGAGAATAAGCATGAAGGTCAGTACATTGTGGGCAAACTACAGGCACTATCGGTGCTCCCAAACACAGGTCACGCCGCCAATAAAACCTAAGGTGTTCATTAAAGACACATGCTCCAATAACCCCAGTCTGTTGTTGGTAAGTGCCGTGTAGCCGGTTACGACTCATAGTGACCCTCTATAGGGTTTCCAAGGAGCAGCTGGTGGGTTTGAACCATCAACCTGTGGTTCCCAGTCCAGTGCTGATCTGATAGCACCACACCAGGACACTTTCAGGTTTCTTTCCTGGGTGGTCTGGCCAGGAATCTGCATTTTAAATAGGTACTCCAGGCAACTATGATACAAATCGATGGGGGACCCTGGGCTAGAGGCAGCTGTAAGCTAGTCAGAATACAAGCATACTCCAGGTTGCTGTGCTTCATTTTATCACGTTCTGCAGATACTGTGGTTTTTAAAAAACAAACTGAAGGTGGGTGGTAACCCTGCATCAAGCAAGTCTATCTATCAGTGCCATTTTCTCAACAGCACGTGCTTGCTTCACGTCTGGGTGCATTTTGGTCCTTCTCACAATATTTCCGACTTTTTAGTAATGCTATCGTACATTGAACAGACTACAGCAAAGTGTAAACATGACTTTCACATGCACTGAAAAACCAAAAAACGTGTGTGACTCGCTTTATTGTGAAATCTGCTTTATGGTGGTGGGCTGGAATTGAATCTCAGCACCACCGAGGTCTGCAGGCCTGTAATAGATTAACCAGAGAACCATTCCGACTCTCCATACAATAGGAGCTTCAATATACTAAAACTCAAGCGTATATCTCTAAGCACACACTTCAGATTTTAAGAGCAACTGGCTTAAATTATATCCAGGACCAATTAACAACAACAACAACAACAACACACCCCAGCATTCTCAGTGGCTGGTCACTACTGACTATAACTATTACTAGGCGAAAAATATCTCTTTACCCAGGAGGGAAAAGAAGCATTTGTATTTTAGAAACTGTTTATAAGAGAACAAATGTAACCTGAGCTATATTTTCATTTCCATAGTGATGATGTTTTTATGAGTAGAAGCATACACTCGGAAATGTAAGTGTATTTTCATGAGAAATGTTACACATGTTTAAAGAAAACACAGGACAGGAGCACGACTCTGTGAATCACAGACTTAACAAGACTACATGAGAAGTGATACGAAAGGGAGGCAATCTATAGATGAGAGATGCTGCTGGCTTCAGCAGCTTTCAGTTTGCTCCTGTGGGAGCCTGCTTTCTGTAATGTCCGTTGGAGACCCGTCCCACACAAATGCAGTTGGTCTTGTGTTCACTTCCGGAATTCCTTTTCATGAAGTTGAGTGGTCTATTCCGGAAGTGCCTCTTTATGTAGGCTCTTTTGTAAATGCTTTAAGAAGCCCTAATACTTCAGACATAGTATCAGGAGGGACCAGTCCCTAGAGAAGGCCATCCATCATGCTTGGCAGAGCTGAGATTCAGTGAAAAAGAGGGCAACCCGCAACAGGTTGGATTGGCACAGTGGCAGCAGCAGTGGGTTCAAGTGTAGCAGCAATTTTGAGGCTGGCACAGGACTGGGCGGTGGTGTTTTGTTTTGTTGTACATAGGATTGCTATGGGTTGGAACCCACTCAACAGCACCTAACAACAACAACAACAACATTGATGCACTGGAGTTCTGGTGGGGCACAGAAATCAGCAGGTGGTAACCTGCTTTAGTAAAGATGACATTGGAAATGCTACATGGCAGCTCTACACTGCCCTACTGGGTCACCATGGGTAAATGCTTTCCACAAATGAAAAGTAACCAAAGTTGATTCTTCCCCTTCGTGGTGGTCGAGTTCCATAATGTATTGTGTTCTGTCATGATGTAGTTTTTTGCATTATATATTTCCATTAAGCAAATATATTATAACTTGTAAAACTAATTTAAGAAAAAGAGCAAATATTAATAAACATTCAAAAATGACTAGCAACTAAGTAAGATGTCTTTTTTAAGAACTGAAATCCATGATAAAAGCTGTACCATAGTTGCATGGCCTTTGACATCGAAGTAGATTGTGAGGTTAGAGTCTAGGCATTCTGCCACAGCTTCCCTCAGGGTGGGGATCTTTTCATCAAGAAAATCCTTCCTATAAGAGAGGGGAAAGGAAGTTGTAGGTGGTAGGAAAAAGAGAAAAAGAAAAGTTTAGTGGAACAGACATTTGGCAAATGTCTCTCAACTAAAAGAAAAGAGCGTTCGTCCCAATGTCCTTTCTTCAGCCATACCCTACCTAGCCCTACCTAGGAGAATTACTACTGGTACTTGAACAAAATTATAGACATTCATGGCCAGAACAGCAACAACAAAATTCATTTAATTCTTAGGGAATCACTGACTTCCCACTGAGTTGATACATAATTACTAACTCTATTTGTCACCTTAGGAGACCTCTTAATGAATTTTAAGACCGCCATTGCCCCACACAGGAGAAATTCCTGGGAGTAAGCAAACCCATCAACTTGTTGCTATGCATTCGTTTAAGTGTAATTTTTTTACAGGCCTAGAAAAGATCTGATTTTTGGATAAAGAAAACAAAGGTTAAGTGCTGGGTACATAAGACATCGGCTCTTCTTACACAGTTAAGATTTAACTTTAGCTAATTCAACTGTATCATTTCCACTGTAAGATGTTTCGTTTTTTTTTAAAAAAGATGATGATCATTTCAATGGTACAGGTGTTTCTGCCAGTCCTTCTACCTGTCCCTGGGGAGTGAGATATTATTTATTATTATTTGAAGATTTTTTATTTATTTTTTTGGAGTGCCTGAAGACAAGAAGATTAACCAGTAAACTTTGGAATTGCTTTCAGCCTCCTGATTCTATCATCTGTATGACAGTACAAAGTTCATTGTCAGACTAGACAGAATATTGAGTTCAGACTCATTCCAGATCCACATTTGGCCGTAGCAGGAAAAGGCTGAAAAACATGCATCCCATATTGCTGTTATTCCTGGCAGCACCTGTTCATGACGTGGGAAACCTGTATGCAGTTCAAACACAAAACCACCTCTCCTGGAGCAGAAGATGCCATTAGAAGGTGCTGATGTTCAGCCGTGAATTTCAAACACAGGTAAAAGACATGGTTAAGTGACAGAAAACCACTCACCTCAACCTGTGCTTTGCTGCAGGATTCAGTTTCCTGATTTGTTCAAATGTCAAATCACGTAACTGCCCAGTCCCATCGGTTGTCCTGTCCACGGTGGTGTCATGCATTAAGACAGGAATCCCATCGGATGTAAACTCAAGGTCCAACTCCACACCTGTTGCTCCATTCTTAGCTGCCTTAACAAAAACACCAACAATATTAATGTCAAATGGCCACAAATGTCATTTGGAAATCTAGACACCAAGAAGACTAATAACAAGGCTGCCTTACTGAGTTCTGTCCTTTCCCAAAACAAACAGCAACCCCAACCCGCTCCTGTCACCTACACTTCTATACTTATCAGATTCCTTACAAATGGTGATGTCCTCCTTTCCTCGCCACCCACAGTGGCAAATAAAAGACACTTCGGTAACTTCCGTTTTTCTCTGGTTGCCTTGCCTGTATTTGGTTATTAATAGCTCACAAATGTTTAGACAAATTCCCATTTACCTACACTGTCTGATGCAGAAGCTCAGATGAGTTCCGAATTTGCTGATTGGTCAGATACATCACTACTTTGGCATAAACAAGAAGAATACAGAACCAGGGAACAAGAGTACGACCCTACACAAGATGGATGATACAACAGATGTGACAAGGGTTTAAGCAAGGCAACAACTATGAGGATGGCGCAAAGCCTGGCAGTGTTTTGTTCTGTGTTATGTGGGGCTGCTATGAATGGGAACTGACTCCACAGAACCTAACAACTATTGCAACTCCACCTGCTGTAAGAGAAACACTAAGCCTGTTTCTAGAGAACACTTTACATTGTGCTGATTGGCCTAACCTTGGCTATTGGTAAACTTGATAAGATGTACTTGCATCTTTTGAAACAAGATAACTATTCAATTTTGTATGCAATGCTCTTGAGACATACACTCTCTAATGTTGGTTCGCTTCCTTCCTCATCACAATGCAGCTATGAAATGCTTATTATGATCAAGGTTTCAGCTTTATATTTTTGAAATTATGGTGTGGCACTGTGGGTTAATGCGCTGGACTGCAAAGTCAGTTTGAACAGCAGGGTCATTGGTTCAAGCTTACCAGCTGCTCCTTAGAAACCAGGGTTCTTAGAAACAGGGTCACTATGGGTTGGAACTGACTCAAAGGCACTTAATAACAACAACATAAACATATATGGAGTCCTGTTATGTTAACTGAAGGGTTGGTGGTCAAACCCACCAGCGGCTCCGGAGGAACAAGATGTGGTAATTCACTTCTGGAAAGATCACAGCCTTGAAAACCCTAGAGGGCAGCCGTACCCTGTCCTGTAGGCTCACTAGGAGTCAGAAGTTGATGCTCACATCCCTGGAATGTTGCTGGTAAGTGCCATAGAGTTGGTTCCAACCCATAGCGACCCTGGATAGGGGTTTCCAAGGACTGGCTGGTGGGTTTGAATCACAGACCTTGTGGTTAGCAGTCCAGTGCTTATTTTACATTGCCACACTTCACAACCCTACTAACATTCCCATTTTATCAATATGAAGCTGAGACAGAGAGATTAAGAAACTTGTTCAGAGTCATACAACATAGAAGATGGTAGAGGCTGTACTCTTCAATGTTATTGCGAGTGTCAACAATACAAACACGTGCCCAGTAGCTGAAATGCCCCCATTCATTTCCTTGGCTTCCTTTGGGAAGGTCAGTAACCATGTACGAGTTGATGTGTGCTGTTTTCATATTATTTCCTTATATGTCTTTTTATGTATTTATCATACATTTATGTACCCATAACAACATACAGCAATGTGCCAGTACATGGTTGTTGTTGTTGTTATGTGCTGTGGAGTCGGTTCTGATTCATAGTGACCCTGCACAGGGTTTCCGAGGCTGTAAATCTTTACTGGAGCAGAAAGCCTATCTTTCTCCCGCGGAACAGCTGGTAGTTTCGAATTGTTGACCTTGAGATTAGCAGCCCCATTCATAACCACTACGCTACCAGAGCTTCTGCCAGTACGTGGGTAAGCACTCAATAAATATTAGCCATTGTTATTTATTGTGTCCTTTTTAAGAGATATTAAATTGTAACACAAACTGATCAAGTTTCCTTATGAATATTCTTCTATCTTATGGAATCTCTCCCACCTGTACCATGTTGCAAAGATATACAACTGTATTTTCTTCTGTTCCAAGCTTGATATTCATATATAGGACCAAGATTCACCCCCTACCAAAACCACAACAGGACGGGTTCGAATCCCAATTCCATCTAGGTCAAGTTACTTACCCAGTCTAGCCTGTTTCATTATTTTAAAGATGAAATCACTGTGAAGATTAAAAGCAATGCATGTGCTCAGAGCTGGGATGCAATATAAACTATATAATGAGAAAGGTATTTTGCCTTAGTGAAAAAGTTATCCCAAGAATACTTATATTTATAGTGACACAAGGAGTCTGGGTGTGGCACTGTGGGTTAATGCACTGGACTGCAAAGTTGGTTTGAACCACAAGGTGCGCGGTTCAAGCTCACCAGCTGCTCCTCGGAAACCTATACAGGGTTGCTATGGACTGTAACTGACTCGATGCCACTTCACAACAACATAGTGACACAAGGCTGAAAGGGGCATCTTTTCTAAGTTAAACACAGAATAATATACTGGAAAAGCAACATAGGTTATAGATATATAAGGTAAAACAAAATCACATTTTCAGTATACGAGAAAGCTTCAAAAAGTTCATAGACAGTTCCGTTACCTTCTAATTCTGTTTTTCTAAGAACTTTTGAAGCCCGTTCCTATGTTCTCTCACTATAACACAAATGTTATTCTTATTCCTTTATGCCAGCACTATAACAACAACAACATTCAGAAAGAATTTATTTTGCTCACTGTCAATGAAGAAAACCAGATTCCATTACCAGTGTAGAGTGGCACAATGGAGTAAGCGGAGATTTTATAATCTGACCAAGTTCAACCTAGAATCTTTTTTCTTTCGCTTTACTGAGCTATAATTCACATATACAACTGACTCATTTAAAGTGTACAATTCAATGATTTTAGTATATTCAGAGTTATACAACCACTATCACGATACATTTTAGGACATTTCCATTGCTCCCCAAAGAAATCCACACCTGTTAGCAACTTCCTATTTTTTCCCATCCTTCCCCCTTGCTCCGTGGCCCTGATCCATTAGACCCCATAGGACAGAGCAGAATTGCCCCTGAAGGGTTTCCAAGTCTGTAGTATTTACAGGGAGTCCTGGTGTGGGGTTGTAACATAAGTACTAGAGCGCAAGGCTGGTTTGAACCTCAAGGTCAGCAGTTCAAATTCACCAGCCATCCTCAGAAACTCTATACAGGATCACTATGATGGCACTTAACAATAACAACAACAAAAAAAAACAATAACATTTGCAGAAGCAGATGACCACATCTTTCTCTCTCGGATAGGCTGGTGGGTTCAAACCACTAACCTTTCCCTTAGTAGCCAAGTGCTTAACTACTGCACCACCTGGGCCCCTCCTTCTGGCCCTAGGTAACTATGAATTGACGTCTGTCACTATGGATTTATATATTATGGACATTTATACACTATGTGGCCTTCTATGACTGGCTTCTTTCACTTACCATCTTTTTTTTGGTTTGTTTAAACTTTTTATTGTGAATGGAATGAAGCTTTACAGAGAGGATCATCAGTTTTACATTCAACCCATCTTACACTTTATTTCATCTCAATGACTACAATCCCCTCAATGCAACAACCGTTACCCCACGTCCTCCCTGGGGCTCCTGTTTCCGTTCCACTCTCCTTCTCATCCCTTCTCAACTTTGTTCTTTGGTCAATGGTGCCCTCTGAATCTTGACTGGAGGACCATTCCGTGTGAGCAGACCTTAGTTGTGTTGTTGTCCCCTCTACGTACCTATCTACTGCTGGGCTGAAAACTGGGCCACAAGGGTTAGTCCCATTTGAAACCTGCAGGGTGGTTGAGGGCTAGAGTCTCAGGTTCCTCCAGTAAACCTGATATTGTTTTCACAATTTTGAGTTCTGTTCCACATTTCCTCCCACTCTAACCAGGACCTTCTGAAACATGATCCATTTCAGAACAGTTGGTAGTGGTATTAGCATCATAATTTTAAGGTCTATCCATGTTATAATATACATCAGCACTGCATTCCTTTTTCACTGCTGAATAATATTCCATTTTATGGCTATAGCATATTTTGTTTACCCATCCATCAATTGATAGACCTCTGTGTTGTTTCTACTTTGGGGATTTGAATGTTCATGTACAGGCTTTTGTGTGGACATGCTGTAAATTCTCTAGGATATATACCTAGGAGTGAAACTGCTGGGTCACATGGTAACTAACCGTCAGACTGGTTTCCCACTAGCCGGTTCTGATTTCCTCGCGGCCTCACCAATACTTGTCCTTCTGATGACAGGTCATTCCTAAGTTATGACGGGGTTCCGTTCTGATGAATCTGTTGTAAGCTGGTTCTGACGGTAAGCTGCACTCTGGAGAATGGGCTGTGTGAGTATAATTTCAGCCCTGAGTCCCTGTTTATAACAGCATATCCGATTTAGGCATTAAGGACTCCTGGTGACATGCTGTAGGATAAGCACTGAATCACAAGGTCGATTTGAACCACAGGTGGTGGTTCAAACCCACCAGCTGCTCCTTGGAAACCCTATACACGGCCGCTATGAGTCGGAACCGACTTGATGGCACTTAATAACAAACAACATTGCAAATAAGGATTCCTGGATTGGCACTGTAGGATAAGCACTGGACCACAAGACCGGCAGTTCAAACTCACCAGTCGCTCCTCGGAAACCCTATACAGGGTTGTTATGAGGTGGTACTTACAGTACTTAACACACTGGATTGCAAACCACAAGGTTGGTGGTTAAGAGTCCACCAGCCACTCAAAAAGATGAGGTTTTTTGTTCCCACAGATTTACAGCCTTGGAAACCCTACTGACTCAATGGCACTTAATAACAATGCAAAGACTAGCTAGATTTACACCATTTGGTATGCTCTTAAGTGTGCAATAATAGCATTATGGGAAAGTTTGAAATATTGTGTGAACGATCAAGATGTGACACAGAGACACTAAGTTAGTACATGCTGTTGGTACACGGCACCGACAGACTTGCACAACGCAGGGTTGCCACAAACCTTCAATTTGTTTAAAAGAAAAAAATAAAATAAAAGCAACGTTTGCGAAGATGAAGTCTGTCTGTAACATGAACTCAAGACATGCTCAACAGAAGCACACAAGATCTGAATGGAATTTCCCTCTACAGGGATTCCCTTAAACACAACAGGACATGAAGCGCTACATGCCTAGGAGTGGTTCACACACATACTCTCTCAATCATTGACTATGACTAGCATGCACCCAGCCCCTCTCCTGCTCACACCACCACCCACAGGCAGCACCCTCAGTATATACTTACTGAATACCTTCTGTGCTCAATGAACACTGAGCTATCCTTGAAGTAAAGCCACCTAACGGTAAGCTGAGGTGGAAGCTAATGACAACTATGTCCTTTTTTTCCTACGACAAATATCTTCGTTCTTTTTATGACAATACCACCTCTGGGTATGGATACCACTTCATCTCTCTCCCAGCTTCAGTTTACATTCTAATGGAAAGTAACAGTCTTCAATTTTTAAACCAATGCTAGAAAAGCTACTCTCACAGTCTCCCTTCCATCACAAAGAACCAAGGAGAGAGAAACATAATGGAAGGTTGTTGATGTTAAGTCTCTTGTGCTTTGGGCATGTTGTCAAGAAGGACCTGGCCCTGGAGAAGGACCTCAGGCTAGGTAAGTGGAGGGTCTGTGGAAGTTAAGGTTTTGTGTCACGTTGGCTGTGCCAGGATTCTCACTGGTTTTGTACTCACGTGCAGTAAGCCCCCATGACAAGATCTAATGTAATGCGCCCAATCCTAGGATGGGATCTGATATGATTGGCTCTGATCTGATGTTGTAATTATCTTGTGTTATCAATCCGAATTCTAGGATGTTAATGAGGTCAGAAGCCGTCTACAGGATTAGGTTATATCTTGAGTCAATCTCTTCTGAGCTATGAAAAGAAAGAAAAGTGAGCAGAGAGAGAGAGAAGGACCTACTACCACCAAGAAAGAGGAGCCGGGAGTGTGTTCTTTGGACCGGGGTCCCTGCGCTGTGAAGCTCCCAGATCCAGGGGAAGACTGATGCCAAGACACACGTAGCTCTCCAAGGACTGCTGGAAACAGACAAGGACTTTTCTCCAGATCGAGGGCTCTGAATGTGGACTTCTAATCTCCTAAACTGTGTGAGAAGAAATTAGCTTGTTAAAGCCATCCACTTGTGGTATTTCTGTTACAGCGGCACTAGCTAGCTAGACAGACACCCCTCAACAACATGGACTGGTACGGTGGTAGCAACCATGGTCTCAAATGTAACAAATGTGAGGGACGGTGCAAGACCAAGCAGCGTTACGTTCTGCTGTACACAGGGTCGCTGTGAGTTGGAACGGACTCGATGGTACCTAACAACAATGACAACAGGTGCTAGTGCATTGATTTTGACTCATGGTGGTGGTGGTATGCTGTGGAGTCCATTCTGACTCATGGTGACCCTGTATAGGGTTTCCGAGGAGCAGGTGGGGAGCTTGAACTGCCAACCTTGCACTTCAAACTGACTCTGCAGTCCAGTGCATTAACCCGCAGCGCCACACCAGGACTCTGATATAACACAACATAGGAATGACTACAAATCTATCCATGCCTTTTTTTTAACAGGATGGGCTTACTTTTTACACCATATTTATTTAATCTGTATGCTGAGCAAAGAGAAGCTAGATTATATGAAGCAGAACAACATGATATCAGAATTCAAAGAAGACATCATTAATAACCTTCAATATGCAAATGATACAAAGTTGCTTGCTGAAAGCAAAGAGGACTTAAAATACTTACTGATAAACACCTTGCACCTCAGTATAAAGAAAACAAAAATCTTCACTACTGGACCAATAAATAACATCCATATAAACGAGAAAAGATTGAAGTTGTCAAAGACTTCATTTTGCTTAGACCAACCATCAACAGTCATGGAAGCAGCAGTTAAGAAATGAAACGGACATATTGTATTAGGTAAATCTACTGCACAAGACTTCTTTAAAGTGTTGAAGAGCAAAGATGTCAGTTTGAGAACTAAGTGTGCCTGACCCAAGCCATGGTATTTTCAATAGCCTCATATATATGTGAAAGTTGGACAATGAATAAAGAAGACTACAGAAGAATTGATGCATATGAGTTTGGTGTTGGAGGAGAATATAAAGTACCATGGATTGCCAGGAAAAAACAAATCTATGTTGTAAGTACAATCAGTATACTCCTTAGAAGCTAAGATGGCCAGACTTTATCTCTCATACCTCAGACATATTATCAGCAGGGACCAGTCCTTGGAGAAGAACATCATGCTTGGTAAAGTGGAGGGTCGGCAAAAAAGAGGAAGACCCCCAACAAAATGGACGGGCACAGTGACAGCAGCAATGGGCCCAAGCGTAGCAACGACTGAGACCCGGTGGACGACCAGGCAGTGTTTTATTCTGTTGAGCATGAGGTCACTATGAGTGGGTACCAACTCCATGGCACCTAACAACAATAACATGCGCTCACTTTATGTCTCTGTGTCAGATTTTGATAATTCTCACTTATTGATCGACTCCATGGCACCTAATAACAACAGTCTTTATCAGAACAAAGTGCCAGGCCTATTTTCCTATAGCATCTATGGGTGGGTTTGAACCACCGACCTTTTGGTTAGCACCAAGCGCTTAATATCTGTGCCACTAACTCAGTTTAAAAACTCAGGTACCCTCCACTGAGTCAAAGGCTGCCTACCTGAAATCCTTCTCTTTTCAAAAAAAAAAAAATTTTTTTTTTTTACCTTTACATCAAAGGAATTTGAAAGTCACACTAACTTCAGAGTCCTGGCAGAACAGCCGACAGGCAGTTTATGTGGATTATCTCTTGGAATCATCACAGACTATTAGGCAGATAAAGTCCCTGGGTGGTACAAAGGTTAATTTACTTAGCTTCGAACTAGAAACTCAGAGATTGTAATCTATGTAGAGAAGTCTTGAAAAAAGGCCTGATCTACTTCCCAACAAACCAGACACTGAAAACCCTCCAGAGCAGAGTTTTACTCTTACACACGGTGGTTAATTCAAGGAAGGACTCATTGGCAACTTTTGTTTTTTTAACCAATATTATTCCCACTTTACCGATGGGGAACTGGAGTTAGTAGAGTTGGTACTAGAAGGGGGATGTCTATGGCTCACTCACAGGCAGTGACCCAAGAACCTGGCTTGCTACACCCCAGTCATGAGCAAGACTGAGGTACATCGTGCTTTGAGTAATTACTCATTACACAATACTGTCTGTCCTATTTAGACAGTGTTTTCCTCGACCACATTCTAATCTATGACAGAGAGCACTGGGCTGGAATCAGAAAGTTGAAAGCTGGAGAGAGATGAAGGCATGGGAGACTCCATTTTCCCACTCACTTAATAAGAAAATCATGTTGGAAAGAAAGGAGAGGACCTGATATATTTGAAAAGTTCTTTTACTATGCAAGCGGTCATTATTAGGAAGCCAGGAGATGGTCAGGATTATCCAGTGTCAGGAATGGGTGGGGGCCTTGTGAGATGAGGAGGCAGAAAATCATCCCTCCTGGGGGCAGGGGTGGGGTGGGGTTGCTGTGTGAGCCCAAATGTTTGCTCTGGGGATGGGTGTGTGTGTGTGTGTGTGTGTGTGTGAGAGAGAGAGAGAGAGAGAGAGAGAGAGAGACCAAGCAAAGCACCCAGTTCTGCTGAAGGTGTTTGACTCAGAATAAACTCAAGTCAATAACTGACCAAGGAGTGCAGTGGCTCCTCAGGACAAGCACTGGACTGAAAAACACAAAGTCAGAGGTTGGAGCCCACCAATCGTTCTGTGGGAGAAAGATGCGGCTTTCTGCTCCTGCAAAGATTTACAACCTCGGAAATTCTACACAGGGTCACCGGACAACACAACTCTTACAACAACAACAAATGAACAAGACTACAAAGGGGCTTCCAAAAGTTCACGGAGAACTTGCATTATCTTTTCATTCCATTTTCTCCATGAACTTTTGGGAGTCCCCTGGGCTTCAGGCTGCAAAGGCCTCTTCTGTTCCCTGGACATTCAATGTCCAGGGACAATCCGCCCCCCCCATCCCACGGCTGTCTCCTCCTAATTCTGGTTTCAGTTCAAGTATCACTATCTAAATATATCCTGTATGCTCTATCTAAAATAACAACGTCCAGCCTTACCCTATCTCTTCATTGCACTTTTGGCCCCTAGGAATTATCTCTAGCCGTGGACGTGTTTAAGGCCTGTCTTCCCCCTCCATTGTAGGCTCCACGGAAGCAGGGACCCTGTCGGCCTAGGTCACCCTCAGTGAGGAGGACACAGTAGCAGGCGTTCTAGAAATAGATGCTTTAGTAGTCTATAAAGACCTGAACTCGGGACGGATCAGGCACCATCGGTAGGAGAACAGGGTCTGGAAAGCCTATCTTGACAAGACCGGGGGACCTTCGGAAGTACAGACAGTAGACCAAGCGCTCAGGTGGGGCTGAGAGGCGCTGGGCGTCGGGGGCTCACCTGCCTGATGGCCGCCAGGGTATTTTCGGGCGCGTCGTGGCTGCCACCGCGGTGGGCGATCACGGAGACGCGACCCCGGGGCTTGAGCACCTGCAGGGCCCTGGAGGAGGGCACCGGCTCGAAGCTGAAGAAGCGAAGCAGGACGTAGAGGCTGCCGGTGAGGAGGCAGGCATTGAAGGGGCTGCGTGTCACCAGGAGCACCAGCAGCAGCAGGAAAGAGAAGGGGCCCAGGAGGCCCCCCTGTTCCTCCCACAACCACATGCCGGTGCCCGCACCGGCAATGACGGGAGTCCCCGGCCCGCCGGGCTCCCGGGACAGGAGAACGACAGGAGACGGAGAGAATCCAAGGCACTCGCCCCAGCTGACCCCCACGGAGGGAACCAGCGCCGCACAATGGCGGCGGCAAACACATCCGGAGAAAGAGACTGACGTCTCCGGGCGTGGTCGCTACCATGGCAACGGAGGCGGGCCCTGGCTCCCGGTTCACGTTCCAAGGGGACTTTAGGTTTTTCAGGTTGAAGACGTAAATGGACTTTAAGACGGTAGGGGACACGAGGAAGGATAGAAGAGTCGTTGCACGGTTAGAGGGCTAGAAGGGATTATAGTGTTGCCTTCATTCTACTCGGAAGGAAACTGAGGCCAAGAGGGCCTTGAAAGGCGAGATGCTTAGCCTATTCATAAATTCAAGATGTGCCAAACACCGGTCCAAGTCCTGGGAAACACCATTGAACAGCAACCCCAAAGTCTTTGGGCTTGTGGAGTTTACATTTTAATGAGGAAAAACAATTGTGTTAATAAGCGGATTTAACATTTATAGAGCACATACAATGTCCAGGGGACTGTGCCTAGCAAATGCTTTGTGTGCCTTATCTCCTTTATTCTCAAAGCAGCCTCAATAGATAGATGCTGCCAGAAGACCGGTTTTAGTCGACTAATAAGCAATTGTCCGATTCTGAGGGAATGGAAGAACATAGCAAGAGGCACAGTCAGATGATAATTTTAGAAGGAATTTTAATGACTCATTTTATAGATCAGGAAACTAAGGTCAGGATTGTTGTTGTTAAGTGCCATCGAGTCGGGTCCGACCCATAGCGACCCTGTACAGGTTTCCGAGGGTGTAAATCTTTACGGGAGTAGAAAGCCTCATCTTTCTCCCGCGGAGCGGCTGGTAGTTTCGAACCGCTGACCTTAAGGTTCGCAGCCCGATTCGTAACCACTATGCAAGGTCAGGACTAGTGAAGTCAAAGGTAGAGTCAGGACAGATGTCAAGCCACCCCAGTTTTAGTCCTGTGACTTTTTCACTGTTAATCCTCCTTCCGGAGTCCTGGTGTGGCGCTGTAGGATAAGTACTGGACTATAAGGTCGGTTTGAACCACAAGGTCGGTGGTTCAAATTCACCAGCTACTCCTCGGAAACCCTATATAGGGTCACCGTGAGCCGGATTCAACTCGACGGCACTTAACAACAGCAGCAACAAAAACCCCCTCCCAGTTTACTTTTGCTGTTGTTAAACGCTGTTGAGTCGGTTTCGACTTATGGCAACCCGGTATAGGGTTTTAGAGGACTTGCTGGTGAATTAGAATCCCTGACCTTGAAGTTAGAAGCACACAGCGTCACACCTTCTACTAAAGGAGTTTATCTAGGCATTGTGTAAGATTATCCCAACTGTTCTCCACAACAACCCTTGTCATTGGTACCTTTTAAATACCCCCCCCCTTTTTTTTATCATGCAAAATAGGCACTGGAAGGATGGACAGTAAGAAAATAAAGCCAAATAGGGAATGTAAAAACAAAACACCAGTTGCTGTCAGTTCAATTCTAATTTATGGGGACCTCATGTTTTCCAGAGTAGAACTGTGTTCCATAGGATTTTCAAAGCCTGGTTTATCTGAGGTAGATTGCCACACTTTTCTTCTGAGGTACCTTTTGGCAGACACAAACTAACAACTTTTGGGTTAGCAGTCAAGCAACTTAACTGTTTGCTTCACCCAGGGACAAGGAAGGGAGATGGGCCACTAAATCACATTGAAAAGTTGGTAGCGTGGATAGTGAATTTTGACAAAAGATCCGGGGCTTCTTGAACCTGTTATTTTTCTTCTTGAACATCTTTTCTCACTGATTTGTAAAAGGTTAAAGATGTTTTAGGGTTAAGAGCTGGTATCTGTGAATTCAGCAGTATTTTATCTAAAAAAAAAAAATTTGTTTTTTTTTTGGTGAGTGTAAGTTTTCCAACGACCACACAGAGTTTATCTCTATATAGATACGTTAAAAATAGTAATTTTAAGGAACTTTTCGGGGAGCTTCAGATCCTTAGAAGGTTCCTGTTGTTGTTGTTAAGTGCCGTCGAGTCGATTCCGACCCATAGCGGCCCTGTACAGGGTTTCCGAGGAGCGGCTGGTGAGCTTGAACAGCCGACCTTGAAGTTCAAATGGCTTTGCAGTCTGGCGCATTAACCCACAGCGTTCCTACTGTATCATAAAACATTGTAAGTATAGAGACACTTAAGACTACGTCTCCCAGCGTGCACCACACTTGCCACAAACATCTACGTCCTCCATCATTGAGCGAAAGCGTGTACGCGCAGTGCACCTCGGGGATAGTAGTTTTTTCTCTAGCTTCGTGCATTACAACGACCGTGAAAGCAAACACCGGAAGTGCCTGTCCTAGAAGGTGGAGTTCAGGCTGCTGCGGCGGCGGTTGCCTGGAGCCCGCGTTGCCGCTTGAGACCCGTAATATGGCGGGGAGGAGGAGGAGAAGGCGGCGGTGGACTGGACTGCGCTCTGTCAGTACCACTTGAGCCGTTTGCTTTCTGTCGATACCCGGAGTGAGGGGAGAAAAGCTGACGGGGCTGTGAGGAACCAGGTGTGTGCGTGAGGCGAGGGTTCGATCCTCAGCGGGTCCGGGTGAGAGGCAACCCAGCGAGGCGGAACTGGCGCCCTGAATTGCTGAAGGCGGGCTCCATACCGAACTCGAGAGCAGGTTCTGAGCTTTGGCACGAGCCCCGGGAAAGCTCCCGGGTTGGGGACCGGCGGCGGGGATGCTTGGACGCGCCCCTCAGGGCCTTTGGGAGCTTATTTGCAGGGCTGGGTGAGGTGGGCTTCGGGTGCTGGGGGTCAGGGTCGAGGACCACTGGTAAATAAACGCGGCCCAATTCCGGAGAACCGCTTCTTGTTGATGAGCTGTTTGGGGCTCCAGGTGCTGGCGAGGGGGCCCCAGGGGTGCACTGGCCATTTCTGAACTCCGGTAACCACAACCCAAGGCCCTGGGAACGCTGTTGACGCTGCCTTAGCGACTCTCTGGGGCTTAAGTGCAAGTTTAATAAAATAAAGCAAATTCACTTGATCGCCTTCGCCGCGGGCTCGGTGGTTCCCACCCTGTGCTTTACTTAGTACCAGCCCTCTATTGCCAATTTAGGCCAGTGGCCAGGCGCCTGAAGATTGATGGGATGGCCAGAGGGGTCTGGAAAGGGCGGAATGAGAAAGCTGTTGGCCTCCTTTCCATGTTTGGTAAGTTACATTGGAAACTTACCAGAAACATGCTCTGTCACTAACTTCCAGGAATTCACATCCAATCCTTACAAGATCCCGGTCAATGAGAGACTCTTGATTATCCCTAATTACACACTAGGAAACTGAGGCATGGGAATATATGGCAGTGACTTGCACAATTCGTATGTGCCTGAATGAGAAACCTCCTCTTAATGCCTCAGTTGTTGGTAAGTGCCGTGTAGTCAGTTCTGACTCATAGCGACTCAGTGTAGGATTTCCGAAGAGCTGCTGGTGAGCTCGAACCACCGACTTTGCAGTTCAAACCGACTTTGCAGTCCAGCCTTTACAAGACACTTATTTACATCTTGTGGAGGGCTGATGGGTGGGTAAACAAACAACTAGGATCTGAAAAACAGAAGAGAACAAGGCAGGATCTGTTATGTTAGTTTTTTGTCTTTCCCATCAGTGACATTTCTGGCATGGTGCTGTAGGATAAGCACTGGACCACAATGTCTGTTTGAACTGCAGGCGCTCCTCAGAAACCCTCTACAGGGTTGCAATGAATTGGAATCGATTCGAAGGCACTTAACAACACTTGTCAGGTGAGGGGGCAGAGAGTAGAGCCCCGAGTACATGGGGTTTGCCAGTAGGCTCAGATGGTATAGGGTCCGTAGTACTTGGATGGTATAAATGGAGAAAACAAGGCATGTCTGAGCCTGTTCCAGCTGAGGATGATTAATTGAAATGGACCAGTAGTGCCTGATGGTCAAGTATGGGGCAGTAGATTTGTGGTTGAGTGACCTTGTAGTCAAACACTTGATGGAAATCAAGCCTGACTGGCAGTGGTAATTGTGGTGTGAGAAACGTTGTGCCCTCCTTGCTTAATCATATGGGTACAAACGGCTCCCTTTTGAAATGGTTGCCTTTGCACTTTAGAGGTACCATGAAATCAGGTCATCTGTGAGCAGACCTTGGTCTCACTGCTTTGCTGTTTCTCTCTCTCTTTTTTTTCCTTCCTCTAAGTAAGTTGACCTTACTGTGTGAACTACTTACCCTAGTTCATTTATTCCATACTTCGATCAGTGCCTACTGTGTGCGGACGCTGCTCCATGTGATGGGAGTTGAGTGGTAAGCAGGGTTGAGCTGGGTTCTTACTCTGGAGCTGACATTTTGGTGAAGGAAGACAGACAAAAGCCGAGGAAATACACAGGGTCATTTCAGAAAGTGCTAGCTAAGTGCTATGAGAATTGGTGAAGGACAGGGCTGTGTAATAGTGACTGAGTCACTCACTGAGATGGGCTAGTCAGGGATTGCTGGGCAAGACCCAGGCAGGCTCGGGGATCCTTTGGCAATTTCCGTAATTACCAAATTAGTATTTGGATTTGGATGTTTAATGCACTACTGTATGCTCTAAGTTAGGCTGTAATCATAATACATTATGGTATGTTTGCTAATGTGTAGGACCGCAGGACTGTTTCAGGGACATGAGTTAACTTTCTAAAGCACTGAGGTATATTTATATGATGTTGTTTAAAGAAAAATAAAATGATTGCCACCAAAGTATTTTGTTGTTGTTGTTTTTGTTAAGTGCCATAGTTGGTTCTGACTCATAGGGACCCTATAGGGTTGCCAAGGAGCGGCTAATGGGTTTGAACCACCAACTTTGCGGTTAGCAGTCCAGTGGTTATTCTACAGCACCCCATATATTTCTTCCACCCTGAAATAGAATTTCATCCTTTACTGTGTACGAATAGGATAATATTACATTAATTGTATGAATACTCTAAGTTTTCAGTGATGCTGGATAGACATCCTGATGCTGTAGTAGTTAAGCTCTTGCTGCCAAACAAGAAGTCGGTGGTTCAAAGTCTGCAGCCATTCCATGGGAGAAAAATGTGGCAGTCAGTGTCGGTAAACATTATAGCCTTAGAAACCCTGTGGGACCGTTGTACTGTGTCCTACAGGTCACTATAGGTTGGAATCAACTCGGTGGTAGTGATACTAGATACATGGATTGTGTAAAAAATACTTTGGAGTATTTTAGCAGAAATTGGATCATTTGGCTTTTTCTTCTTTGCTGTTGCTGAATATTTTGGTTGTTTAAAATACCTTACTATGGGTTGAAATCTAGACTAAAAATGAGATATTGCTATGGTTTTACTACATTGAGGTATTTTGATTTTTGCTTTTCTTATTTTGTGAATGTAAGTTTACAAAATAATCTCTTTTGTATTCTAGAGAACCATTCCTTTTAAATGAAAAAATCCCACTTTGTATAAATTGAGTATAGAAGTAATTATAGCGTATGAAATATTAGGATGAAGTGTTGTTACTTACAAGACTGCCAGTTAGTCAAAAGTAGCAATGTATCTAATTTTTTAAAAAATTTAATCATATTTTAGTATGTTTTTTACAGGGTCGCTATGGGTCGGAACCGACTCGACGGCACTTCACAACAACAACAACAATAATTGATTTATAATTATTTAGCACACTTTAGTGTGCTAAATTTCTAAGTGTCTTGAAGCCTAGGACATGACATTCTATCTTATTTCCTTTTTGTCCATCCAACATCATGAAGTGAATTTCCTGCCCGCTCTTTGTCTTTAGTTAATTGTTCTTAAAGGAAGACTATTGTATTACAGTTTTTGCTTTTCAAACTTCTACTGGTTATGATTCTGAAGATATCTCTTCTAATTTTTCCCTTGCTTATTTAAAAGAAACAGCACCACACATAATGCTATGCAAACAAGCAATCAATAAATCTTTATGATAACTAAACAAATGGAGTGGTGGTGTGGCACTATAGGGTAAGTACTGGACTGCCAACCACAAGTTTGGTGGTTCAAACACACCGGCTACTCATCAGAAACCCTATGAGTTTCTGGGTCACTACTTGACAACACTTTTAACAACAACAAGGCAAGTGAATAAGGTTGTTAATCCCTCCTGGTTACCTGGTATTTTCATTACCAACATCACCACTTCCTAGAAACTGTGAAGCTACTGAGTTTATTTTAAGTATTTTGGCAGTGGTCTCAGTTTTCAGCAGCATATACCTACTCCTCACTCAGTGACTCTCATTATTGAACAGTTTGTGTTTATGTCCACTGTAAAAATCTATCCAACTCTTTTACGCATTAGCAGTGTATGTCTGGCAGTGCTGAACACCGGGTCACTGGCTTTGGTGGTTAAGGTTATGTGTCAACTTGGCAGTTATGTAAAGATGTAACTTGGCCGTTATATAATGATGTAACTTGGCAGTTATGTAATGATGTAACTTGGCAGTTATGTAATGATGTAGTTCATCTTCCATTTTATGATATGATGTGGTTTTCCTCCATTTTTACATAATGCTGATTTCTGCATAATGATCTGGTTTTTGGAACATAATCATGTTGATCAATGAGGGTATAATATGACTAATACCAGAGCCAGTAGATTTTGTTCTGACTGCTTCTGACTGGGTTGGTTTAATGCCCATGGAGTCCAAGTATATTATTAAGATATGCAAGTAATGACTTCTGTGCTCCGTAAAAAAAAAAAAAATCCTAGCCTTTTTAGCTTCTTTTTGGTTAAAGGATTGGTATGATAAAGGAGCTATGTGGTGCTATGGCTTAAGCATTGGGCTGCTCACCACAAAGTCAGCAGTTCAAACCCACCAGCTACTCCATGGGAGAAAGGTGAGACTGCGTCTGTAAAGTTTTACACTCTTAAAACCCTTCTGTAGGGTCACTGTGAGGCTTGAGTGGATGGCAGTGTGTTTGGTTTATGGTTGTATAGAAAAGTTTTTCTTGTGCTCTGTTGCCAAGTCCTATTAAAGGGAGTCCTGGTGTGGCGCTGTGGGTTAATGTGCCAGAATGCAAAGCTGTTTGAACTATAAGGTTGGTGGTTCAAGCTCACCAGCTGCTCTTTGGAAACCCTATACAGGGTTGCTATGGGTCGGAACCGACTCAACGGCACTTCACAACAACAACAACAATAATTCTTTTTACAAGCGGAATGTAGAAAAGTAGCATAGAGTTTTGTTTTAAGAAGGTTTTACTGGTACGTTCCCAATATTTTGTAAACTAATCACTTTTAAGAGACCGATATATATATGAGAATGTTCAGAAATATTTAATACATGAAGTAAGACTTAACCTGGGCACACTCTTTAGATTCTTCCCTACGCCCAAGAATTAACTCCTCATTGGTTAATTATCTGTTTTGGAAAGGCCGATTCTCAGAATTGTGAATTGTAGTAATATTTCAGTGCTCCAGTAAGATTTGCCAAGTACAAAAGACTTGTTTTGCACAACTCATTAAACGTGGCATTTTTCTCTTGTAGTGTGACTGTGGGAAAATGGAAGAGTATGAGAAGTTCTGTGAGAAAAGTCTCGCCACAATCCAAGAAGCACCAGTCTCCGGGGACGGCTTCCTACCTGCCCAATCTGAAAGCACCTCACTGATAAGCTTCCATGGAGTGGCTGTCCTTTCTCCACTGGTAAAAGTTCTTAGCTTCTTAATCATTGTCTCCCTATGGTAAATCACTAAATGACTTCTGCTTTTGTAGTACGTTGTTTTTCACCCAGCCTAAGAAACATATTTGTAACTACTTGGCCGTTTAGGTCATGGCTCAGGGACTAATGAGATGAATAAGAAATTTGAGTTTTGAAAATTGATGTGATATTTGAAAAATGCCGATGTAAGTACTTCTTTTCTTTTCCCAAAGTTGCCTTGGGTTTTGATGATATCAAGTGACCCTGTATAGCGTAGAGCCCAGGCTCTGGGGGCAGGCTCCGGGTCAAGCCTGCGTCTACGTACTGTGCCACTGCTCAGGCGCTCAGCGTCTCCCAGCCGCTTTCTCTTCAGCTGTAAATGTGTCAATCACAACCAACAGTTGATCACCAAGTTGATTTTGACTCAGTAACCCTACCTAGGACAGAGGAGAACTGCTCCTTGGGGTTTCTGAGATTATCTTTTTAAATCAGAGAAAGTTGTACAGTTTAGCATGAGTTATTTTAAATATGAGTCAAATGACCCCTCAAAATATGTTTTATAGCAAATTAAAAAATGTTTTTATGAGTGACATGTATGAAGATGAGCCAATTCATGTATTTAAAAAACCCTCTGCCTTCAAGTTGTTTCTGACTCTTAGCCACCCTGTAGGTCTGCTTCACAGGGCTTCCAGCTGTAAGTCTTTATGGCAGCAAACTGCTGCATCTTTCTTCTGTGGTGTGCAGGTGGGTTCTAACCACCAACCTTTGGTTAGCATCCCAACGCTTACCCAATAAGCAACCAGGGCTCTTTGATATATAAAAAAGCTCTTACAATGTAAAACCTAATGTAAAAGTAGACAAAAAACACAGATAAGGAAATGAAGGCTTATAAATATTTTAAAAGATGTCCGATCTTTATTCATAATTAAAGAAACACAAATATAAATTTGAGTGCGTTATCATTTGATTGGCAAAGAGCTGGTGGTGGATGAAACGGCACTTTGCATGCACTTTTGCTGAGAGAGTAAGTGGATACAAGTTTTTGAAGAGCATTTTGGTAACAGAATTTTAAAATGTATACAACTCAGCAATTCCATTTCTGGGAATATCATCTATTAATACTTAGTATATGTGCTCAAGGAAATATACACAAGGTTATAATAGCATTATTCAAAACAGCAAAGGATTGATGACAAACGATTTCCAAAGTGCATTATTAGTGGACTCATGTAATGAACTGGTTCATCTTACCGACTCGCATGCGTGCATTCTCATTCTAACTGCTGGTGTGGAAGGCTGGAGACCAGGGTCTGATCCCAACACCATGGAGCGCATGCTCAGAGGCATTGTAGGAAGTGGGTGATGTGAACTTTTAGCTTGTTTTCCTCCTTTTTTAAATAAGGAGAAATAAGTAATAGATAATAGTGTTTATCTCAAAAAGTTGTTTTGAAGATTAAGAACTAATGCATGTAAAATGCTTAGAACACTACCTGAATCCTAGGAGCTATTCCTATTACATGAATTTGGAAATAAGGATACTATTTCTCTGAGCAAAGTAAGGGAATGTAAGATGGAAGGGAAGACCCACTGGGAACTACAAGGTGGGTGATTTAAGCTCATCGGCTGCACCGCGGTAGAAAAATGCGGCTTTCTGCTTTGGTGAATATTTTTTTAAAAAAGGATTAACAGCCTTGGAAACAGTTTACAGGGTCTGGGTCACTATGAGTCTGAACTGACTTGATAGCACTCAACAACAACATCCTTCAATATGGATTCCATTTTTTTTAAAACACATTTTTTCAACATCAGGAAACAAATAGTATTGAAAAAAGCAAGTTTTGAATATGTTTTTCCTTTCCTTGGTATAACAGTAGTTAAGAAATAAGTTTTTTGTCAACTTTTTATAATGAAATGTTCAAATGTTGAAATGATAATATAATGACCACATATATATCTATCATCAAGATACATCAATTTCTAACATTTTACCCTGTTTGCTTTACGTGCTTAAGATTATATATGTACGTATATTATATATCTATTACACACACACACATAACATGAGAGTACTTCAAAAAGTTGGTTTTGGAAAAGTGGAATTAAAAGACAATGGAATTTTTCCATGAACTTTTTAAGCACCCTTATGTGTGTATGTGTGTATCTGAACCATTTTAAAACTATAGATGTTTTGACTTTACTACCTTAAGTATTTTAGTATGCATCTTCTAACCCCAGTGCTAAGTGTGGGGCTGTAGGATAAGCACTGGACTGCTAATCCCAAGGTAAGCTGTTCAAACCTACCAATTCCTCCTCCGAAACCCTATAAAGGGTTGCAATGAGTTGGAACCGACTCAATGGCACTTAACAGCAACAACAAAGGGGCTATGGTAGCGTAACGGGTTACAAGTTGGGCTACTAACTGCAGGGTTAGCAGTTTGAATCTATCAGCTGCTCCATGGGAGAAAGATGAGACTTTTTGCTCCTGTAAAGATTTATAGCCTCAGAAACCCTGTAGAGGGGGTCACTGTGAGTCAGAACCGATTCCATGGCACACACCTACCACCACCAACCCCCAAACTATGATCCTACCTTGACAAAATTAATAATTTTTAATAATATCTAATTTTCTGTCCATATTAAAATTTCTCCATTTATGCCCCCATTTTGGTTTTCCTAAATGTGGATCCAGCCAGAATTCGTAAATAGCATTTGATTAAAATTATATACCTTTTGTGGCACTGGACTGCAAAATTGGGTTGACCTGCAAGGTCAGCAGTTCAAGCTCACCAGCTGTTTCTTGGAAACCCTGTACAGGATCACTAAGGGTCAGAACTGACTTGATGGCTCTTAACAACAACAAAAACAACAATAGTCTCTTTTAGGACTTCTCGTGTGGCGCTGTAGGATAAGCACTGGACTGTGGACTACAAGGTCGGCAGTTCAAACTCCCACTAGCTGCTCCTTGTAAACCGTATACAGGGTTGCTATGAATTGTCTGACTCAATGGCAGTTAATAACAACAATCTCTTTTAGTTTAGAGAGACCCCTCTGTTTCTTGTTTTGTCCTTTTAAAGATGATACTGAATTTCTGAAAATATTAGCAATTGTTGTAGGTTGTCTAGTATTTTAAATTGGTCTAATTGTTTTCTCATGGTGATGGCTAGTCCTGTGCTTCTTATAAACTGGAAATTAAGTTCTTTATAGATATACATTTTCTACTTTTTGACTAGGAAGTAAACAGTGGAGTGATTCTTTGTACCATGCAAATAGAAGTTAAAAAATTTAAAACAACAGTTTTGTAAGTAATTTGATGATGTATTACTTGAGGAATCTAATATGAAGCAAAATGTTTGAACTTTGTTATTTAGGGTCTTTAACTCCATTACCCCACTACCTTTGAGTTAGTTCTGACTCATAGCAACCCTATTAGTTACTGCTTATTTATAAGCAAAATCTGATGTTCTTAGATCTTAATCCATGCATGTATGTGGTATTTAATAGATGAATATTACAATTTTGGAATAATTTTATTATAGCATGCCTTCTCTATTTGTGTAAATAAAAAATAATCTTCCTGACTCTTTAATACGGTGACTAAACTGAAGTTTAATCCACTATAAAAAGAAACAAAACTTGAAAGCCTTCGATCAGTTTAGATCAATGTTACTTTTATAGTTGAGTACTATGAGATGGAACAAAAATGTGTTTTCGTTTTGTAAGCAAATCAAGAATCTATTTCTTTATCATTAAATACTCAGATGTGTGTGTGTGTAGCAGCAGCAAAGAATAACGTGTACTGATTAGAAGATTAAAAGTTGAAGAATCTAACTGACGCAGTGAAGCTACTACCATTACTACCAACTGAAAAGCCCAGTAGTGTCCAACAGAGCTCATTGTAACACTTTCATTTTAGTGCATTTGATAAGTGAACAGGTTTTTTTCCCTGGAACCTTTTTATTTTTTTCAATTTGGTAGTAAATTACATTCAGTGATATGCACCCATGTTACGTGTTATGGTTCCATGAGTTTGATATGTGATTGACCTTTCACTCACACAGATCCCTCATACTCCTCTCTGTCTGAACCACCCCCCTTTCCCTAACCATAGTTCTGATTTCTTTCAGGAAAGACTCACTTTGCTTATTGCATGGGTTTTTAATTGCTCGGGTTCGAAATGTCCTGTTTTTGTGATAGTTTCAGAATTGAGAACTAAATATGCATTCTTACGTTTTTTAGCTTAACATTGAGAGGAGAAAGGAAATGCAACAAGAAAAGCAGAAAGCCCTTGATGTAGAAGCAAGAAAGCAGGTTAACAGGAAGAAAGCTTTACTGACTCGTGTCCAAGAGATCCTTGAAAACGTTCAGGTATGTCATTTAAACTCCTTTAGGTGGTAATGAAGAAATCATAAAGAATATTGTCATTATGCATTGGGGATCATTTCTCAGGAATATATTTGTACTTACTAGTTAATTACTAATGTATTTTACTGTAACGTTTGAAAAGCTTCGTTTGTGATATTTCAGTTACTCCAAAACAAATTCACTTGCTTGTTAGTGATGTGTTGGGTACTTGAATCAGAGGGTATTTGTTTAAACAATGGAGACATGCACTGAATATAATTGTTTATTGTCTGCATCTTATGATTCTAAAATGGAATTCTTAGTCACAAAATGGTAGAATTGACCATTGTAATTTATCCCTAAACTGATCAGACTATGGTCTAAATGACTTTATTCTCATTCTCTGCACAAGTAAATAACTGCTTCGGTGTTTTATTTTATTTAGAGACAATTATAGTCTTGAATGAACAAATACAATTTATTTTACATAAATTCAATTCCCTAGATGTACTCTAGATCCAAATGGAAATCATTTAAAAACACATCTACACCTTTTGCAACTATTTTTGTTTAGCTTAATTTAAATTTGTATAAGTAATTTATTTCAAGGTTTAGATAATTTTATACTAAAAAGAAAAATAAATTAGATTGAACAAATAATTTCTGCTAGTACATCTAGTAGTGTTTTGCTAGTTAATGTATTTTTGTTCTGTTTCTTCATAATCTCAGGAGTTTATGGTTTGTTGGTATAATTTATACTAGATGACATATGTGTATTGAACCTTAGGATATTTCTTACTAACTCCCTTCATTTTTCCATGTAATATGTAGAGCTTTTAATTTGCAGATTATAATTCCTGTCCATGTTAAATTTTTTTAAAAATGGAACATAGAGCTCAAATTTAACAAGAGGCTTTTGATAGCAAACATTTTCTTTTATTAAAACAAAAATGGTACATCATTATTTGTCCTTTGAGGAAAGCTAATAAATGTTCATCTAATAAAATTATTGTTGAGTCTGAGAATTTAAAATGTTAAACTGTAGAATAGTGGGTTAATTATGCAAATAGAGAAATTGTATATAATGTAAATACATTTCTAAAGTGCTTTAAGTCTTAAAACATATGACAGATTTTTTTTTT